TCCCCCTCAACGGTTCTGTGCTCAACTACAGTGGCTGGAGCCAGAGGGACGAGTGGCTCCACAGCATGGGGCCCGGGGCCCTTCAGGAATCTCTAGTGGTGCAGATCCTAGCGACGGACGCTAAGAAGCCGCTGGATGTTCGCTACAGCTTCTTCATGCCACGGAGGACTGCTCCACAGCAACCCAGCCCCAAGTCCACCGCTACACAGAGCACCACCACCACCACCACCACCAGAAGCACCACTACCACCAGAAGCACCACTACGTCTTCCTCCACTCCCAAAGTCCTGGTCCCAACGGCTCCAGGCCCCTCTACCCCCCTCCCAGGGCCCCACTGGGTGACGGGGTCCTGGATGAGCTGCTCTAGGACTTGTGACACTGGCTGGCAGAGCCGGACTGTGCAGTGTAAGAGCCAGGAGGGGAAGCTCTCCAAGGGCTGCACGTTGGGGGTCCGACCCTCCGCCTTCAAACACTGTCTGGTGAAGAAATGCTGAGGCGGCAGGAGAGGGGGAACAATTGGTAGGACGTTTAAAGGTCTGGAGTTCTTGGTGTCGGACTCCTTAAACAGGACTGTGAATGTTGAGCGGCTCCACAGAGACTCTGGATGTACCTGACTAAACGCTGGAGGAATGTCCTGGAATCGCAGTAGCTATGCAGTAGAGACCTCCCGGACAGACTCAAATTGCATGTCGTTTCCACATGGACAGAAACGGATTGTCTTTACTTCGGCCTCCAGACCCTGGAGGCTCAGTGTGTGTTGCCCTGTAATGGCATGTCGTGTTTTTGTATGGTATTCCATGTGTTCTGATCACTGTGGGGATTCGGAAGTCGCTTCCATTTGTCCGTGAGAACAATGGGGATTGGATTGAAAGATATCGTTATTAGCTTGCCGTCATTTCTGCCGAATGTCCCGCGGTGGGTGTACTGCGTCGCAAATTGCTCTAGTAACTGAAACGCTTGTCAAATGTGTTACAGGTTGAATGTTGAAAAGATCACTCTCCATCTTCTGATCGACTACCAATATTCTTCCCGTAAAAGATTATTTATGAGCCACTCAGTGACAGGAATGTCCCAGTAACAGGAGACTAATGATGGTCCTGGATAAGGGCTACCCGATGCCCCGACTATAAGCGTTCTGCGTCTTTATTTGAACGATCTGTCCAGCTGAAAAGCGAGAGGCAGCACAAGAAGGGAACACTGGTTTCTCGTGTCCAAGAATGAATGGTGAATTACGTCCTACCCTAAAATATTTTTCTCATCTTGCAGCGTTTAAAAGAAAACTCTGTAAGAAAGCTTTTCCTAAAGACACAAGTCACCTGTGCAGCGTATGGTGGCCTTCAGAGGACAAACTTTACAACAGTTAGGTTGACAAAGGGGCAAAGTAACCATGACACTCCTCAACATTTATGGAGGTTTAAAATGACTCACAGGCTTAGGGTAATTAAGTGTGTGTGTGTAGTAGAGCTTCAACAAACAATTGTTTTCATTATCAATTAATCTGCCAATTATTTGAGAGGTTGAAAACTGTATTTTCTGCCATGGTTTGCGTCATCCTTATCAAAATAGTTGGCGATTATGTTTCTGTCGACTGTTGCAGCTCTAAGTGTGTGTTTGTGTGTGTGTGTGTGTCTCATGTACCCAGGCCTGTGTTTATGCACATGCAGTATGTACCGTGAACATGTGCGTTTTGAAGCGTCTTCACTCTCTGTTCTGTCGGCATCAGTCAATATGCCGGTGCTGGGAGCTTAACGACCCTCAGGTTTTATTTTGGAGGTCAATATCTGTTTGTTTGTCTGTTTATCTGTTTAGGAAGCAATGCTTATATGACAATGTGTGCCCTGGATACTCGCAACGACAGCAAGGGAGATGCTAACGCAGTGTCCTTTTTTGCAATTCAACACTCATTCTCTGTTTTACATCATGTATTTGAAAATGTTTTAAACTGTGTCCTGATGGGTGGTGTTCGCCATGTTACAACAATTCAGATCGTGCCACTGATTTTGAAGATACAATTCTTCAAATACTTCAGACAATCCACAGAGCTCACTGTCAAAAATGCTAAAGAAATAGTCCCAGTGCCGACAAGGGGACACTGATTTGGGAAAGTCATGTTGCTGTTGATTATAAGAAATAGTTTGACATATCTGGAAACACGCCTATTCATTTTCTTGCCAAGAAATAGACAAGAATATTGATACCACACATGCCTCTCCTCTGAATATTAAGCTACAACAAGGAAACTGTTAGCATAGCTTAGCCTACAGACGTGAAGCTAGGGAGACGACTAGCCTTGATCTGTCCAAATAAAACAAATATGGCTACAAACATATTTTAATTAACACATCAAGTGTTTTTTGAACAGTATATATAGTGTAATAACCTCACCCATCTGGCACCTGTTCAGGAGAAAACCTTTTTTTTATAGATAATACATAATCCTATTCAAAATACCACTCACACACAATTCAGATTTATTTACACAATATAGACATTTTATACAATGAGTAGATCTTACATATATCTCTAAGTATTCAACCATATATACACAGAAATGTATACATACAAACACATTGGAACAATCCATCAGATCAATTTCTCACACACACTCTACTCTGACCCTTGCAGTGGGGAAACCCCTCTCGCTGAACGACAGAAACACAGCACTGAACTTGTAATTTATTGTTTGTACAACTGCTACGTGTGAATAAAAGAAAACAACGAGATGAGTTTTATTTATTATAGTAATTTTGTATCAAATTACTATTTAACTTAGGCATATGACTGCAGAATCATTCCTTTGTGAGAATATAGTGTTTCTTTTCTAGTCATCCACATGAATATATGTATATAAAATCTATATATTTAAATACCTTTGTGTCTGTGTTGTTCATTTGGTCACATATTTGTATTTTATTTTCCTTGCATGTGTTGCAAAATCAGTCGCTATCTAAACACACGTGATGAAAGAGGAGTGTTGGGGTGGGGATGATTATATTAGAACAGCCTTATTATATGGATTGGAAAAAGCCAGACCATTTACATGCACAAAAGCCTATAGAACACAATACAATGACAAATCATGGAACCTATATAGTGGCTTGGCCCAACCAAGTTGAAACCAAGGGGCAATTAAGATGAACAGAATACAAAAAAGTTTGTTTTATTTGTATGTATGTTTATGAATGCACCACAACACATAGTCAAATTCCTCGTATGTGTTTAAAACCTACCTGGTAATGAACCTGGTTCTGGTTCTGAAAAAGGACAGTTTAAACCCAAATCTCCCCTTTGACATGGAAGCAGGTGGATTGTCCCTATTGGCTGTTCGTAGTATTTAAATCATGTCAGATTAGAAGCAAATATAGAGTTTACCATCTAAATGAAATGTGTGGTGTTAATAATTTGCACATTTGACTGCAGCCGAACTGAAGGTGAACTACTGCAGGTGAGGTGCAGTGTAATTGTTTGACCCTGTGTGGCTGTGGCCATCACTCTGTAAAGAATAACAATAGCTGTCAGTTACGTATATTCCTTTTACCTCCAGTTCGGACCCTGGTTCAGAATCCTCCAGCAGAGGCACCACTCTGTGCACCTTTACAAACGAAATAAAACGTGATTAAACATGTAAATGCTAGACTTCTGCACAACGTTAAACATGGCCTGACCTCACCTGCACTCAGGTATTTTACAGGTCAAATGCACATGAGGTGCAGCTAGAGGAGATTCTATTACCCTGCACAGGAAAAGTTATACAAGTCAATAATGTCTTTATGTTAAAGCAGCACAACAATATAACTCCATCCCAGCAAGAACAAAACACATGTAGTCTTTTTAAAACTCATTTAAAAGCAACAAGCTCATACATGTGATGCAGTGGCGCCACCTAGCGGTCATATGTGATATTGCCCCATCCAGTGATGGAAAAGATCTGCAGCTGTGTTGGGAATTTCCACAGGGCATGCCTACCATCTTCTGGGGAATTGCGGAATTACAATGAGTCACTTTTTATGACCTGTTGCTCTTAAGGTGGACTTCCATAATGTGTCCCCACAGAGTGATCAAGTGACGTCAAAAAGTTACGCACTGACCCTCAAATGGTGCCAAAAAGCTGTCATGGACTGTTTAAAAATTACACAACACTTAAGTGACCTTATTTGGATATTTTCACATGATTTGGTTATAGATTTTACTTTATTTAATCAGAATGTTGTAGAGATGTCTATATGATTCTTTAAAAGGACTTTCCCTTAATGTTTTATCTGCTGTGAATCATTTGTTTGGGGTGTCTTCAATTGGGGTTTTCTGCTTTGCCAGGTATTTTTTATGATACTCCTGCAAACTCGTCCTCTCTGTTGGAGAGAAGCAGCAGTCCGGACGGGTGGGGGGAGAAGCCGGAGGACAGGGGCTCCTCTCCCCTTGGTTTGAGTAGAGAAGCAGCCTGAATGGAGAGCCGCTCCACCTTAAGACCTCAGCGGCCCCTCTCTGCTCCCTCTCCCCGGGCAGCAGAGCCTCGCAGCCCGGCCACGGAGCACCACAGCCGGCTTGGCATGAAGGAAGGTGAGTACGACTCCTGGAGACTTGGTTACCTCTGGATCTGCTGCCATCTCCCTCTCCTGTTGCACTACAACACATCCTCCACTGCTGCCTGTCGACCTGAGTTATGTTTACTCAGTTTAGAAAGTAGAGCAGTGGCACAGTTTGAGGTTATCATATCATAAATGAATAATCAGTTAAAATATAATTCATATGTTTAAGTCATATTATTCCCGGGTGATGACTGTACATGTACATCTTGTGACAGTCAGAAGGAGAAAACATGTCTCTGCCCAAAGCTCTCTGTCCTCCACAATGATTGATTATATGGCAACACGCCAGGTCGCTGGTGCGCACGGGATTTGGCCAGTCTTAGATCAAAGAGCCCTTAAGAAAGGGGTGGTCCTGAGGCAGGGGGATATAAGGAGGGACCTGCTCTGATCTGACTGAAAGGCAACAGCAGAGAACAGAGTAAACGGGCCAGCAGAGGAAGAACCTGCCCTGAACTCACACACAGAGCTGGAAACTGAAACATCTGCTGAGAGAAACAGACCTGTTGGATTTACTGCCGACATCCAGCTTTTATTTGTACTTAATAAAAGGACTTTTTTCTGCAACAAGTCCGCCTTGCACATACATTTGAATGAGTTTTTCACTGGATTTGATCCCTTTTTAGTCTATACGAGTGTGCGTAATTTTGGAGACAGTTTTGTGGAAGTTCAAAGACTTTGCTTTTGTAGCTGATAGTGGAAAACCTTTTAAAGGATTTATTTGCTTCCTCGTAGAGACTTTACTCTCAACTTGTCTTTACACTTGTTGGATTTCACAGCTTTATGATGAGTTTTTTACACGTTTCCATTGGTTTATTCGTCGCTCTGTGCGTCAGCGGGGTGCACAGCGCCTGGGAGGAGAGCACCGTGGTCCCGGTCCGGCTAGACCCAACGGCCCGGTCGGAGAGCGAAACCGAGTCGTGGCGGACTCTTTCCGCGGAGGAGCAGGAGAAGGAGGCGGAGATGAGGGAGTACAGGTTGGACGTATTTGGCAAAGAGCTGGTGTTGCAGCTAGAGCCTGACCAGACCTTCTTGGCGCCGGGGTTTGTCTTCCACATTGTGGGGACTCCTGAGTCCGAACCCACACAGGAACCAAAGAGCGGAGCCGAGCCGGGCTGCTTCTTCTCCGGCACGGTGAACGGAGAGGATCACTCCGCCGCGGCGCTCAACCTGTGCCACGGGCTCAGGGGCGGATTCTACTTTCAGGGGGAAGAGTATTTCATCCAGCCCCAAAACTCTAATGACTTCACGGGCACCGAGGAGGATGTCCACACGATCCGCCGCAGAGGTCGGGCAGCTCTGGCTGAGGAGGGGAGCTCAAAGTGCGGGGTCAACGAGGACGAGGCGAGGGTGCCAACAAATCTGGAGGAAGAAGCCAAGCACGGAGCAGCTAACGCAGAGCAGACAGGTGAGCTGCAGGAACACTTTACGCGCTTTTACGCATTTCAGAAAGCTCACATTATCCAAGCAACAACCTTATAAAAGTGGCCAAAAAAACAGAAAGCGAGTTTTATTTGTATTATATTTATTTATTTATGTCGAAATGTCAACGTATCTAAAGCTTTACACAAAAAAGAATCCTCACTTTTATGAGTACTCAAACTGCTGTCAGCTGGAGTTGTGCCAGGCTGCACAGCATGCCCAATGGACCCAGCTACCTTTTTTGACAGCGCCGTCTACGCACTACCAGAACTGAGGAAGGGAGGGGAGGGAAGAGAGAGGGGGGGGGGGGGGGGGGTCGAGCCTCTCCAAGGGGAAAGAGGAGGAGGCGTGACGGAGGAAGGGGAGGGGAGCAGCGGGGTTGGAGCCAGCCAGAGCCCGGCGGTGCTGAGACGTGTAAACTCGCCTCCTGGTACAACTCGCACCGGCAGACATTTCACCCCCCTCCAGAAAGGATTTTCCTCCCCTTCGATTAGTTTTCCACCAGAGAAGGTCATTTTAGGAATGTGAACCCTGCGGAGGAGGAGCCTCCGGAGGTGGTGTGACGCTGAGTCATCCCTCTGAATAAAACCCTTTGTAGAGCTGAAACATAAAAAGTGCAGTCAAATCAGGAGTGTAATATGATAGCTGCTCACATGACCTTTGCACCTGGTTTGACCTCTTTCTCTCCTCCCCTCAGCTCACCACAGGAGCAGGCGCTTTGTCTCCACACCTCGCTACCTGGAGATCATGCTGGTGGCTGACCAGTCCATGGCTGAGTTCCACGGCGCCGGCCTGAAGCCCTACCTGCTGACCATCATGGCCGTGGCCTCCCGCCTCTACCGCCACCCCAGCATCCACAACTCCATCAGCCTGGCGGTGGTGAAGCTGCTGGTGGTGTACGAGGAGGAGCGAGGCCCCCAGGTGTCCTCCAACGCCGCCATGACCCTCCGCAACTTCTGCCAGTGGCAGCGGCAGCACAACCCGCCCAGTGACCGCCACCCCGAGCACTACGACACCGCCGTGCTCTTCACCAGGACGGTGAGTCAGTGGAGGAGTGGAGCAGAGACAGAAACCGAGGAGATAAAGGAGAATTCAGACATTAACTTTGCTCTCTGTTTGCATGTTTAGGATCTGTGTGGCGCCCACTCCTGTGACACTCTGGGCATGGCAGATGTCGGCACAGTGTGTGACCCTGACAGAAGCTGCTCTATCGTGGAGGATGATGGCCTTCAAGCTGCATTTACTGTGGCGCATGAACTTGGTAAGTAGAAGTAGAGTTAGGAATGCTATCAAAATCAGAATCAGATTTATTGCCAACACATACAAGAAACATGCTATGGTGCAGCCATAAACACAGTATGAGGAAATAAGTTGTTAAAAAAGGAGCAAATGGCCCTTTTTTTCTTTTGATTGTAGCCTTTGCAGATGATTTACATGCACACAAACCTACAACACACTACAGGAAAGTGAAAACCCCAAAAAGCATAATAGGCTGTTTAAATAATTTCCTCTCTGTCCTGCAGGCCACGTCTTCAACATGCCTCATGATGACGCCCAGATGTGCTCCGGGGTCAACGGTGTCCACTGGGGCTCCCACATGATGGCCTCCACCCTGTCCAACCTGGACCAGCAGCAGCCGTGGTCCCCCTGCTCCGCCCTCATGGTCACCACCTTCCTGGACAACGGCCACGGTCAGTGTCTGCTGGACAGGCCGGTCAAACCGCAGCCCCTCCCCCAGCCTCTGCCGGGGACGGTGTACGACGCGGACCACCAGTGCCGGCTGACCTTTGGGGACGACTCCCAGCACTGCCCCGACCTGAGCACCACCTGTGCGGCCCTGTGGTGCACCGTCACCACGTCCAATGGTCTGCTGGTGTGCCAGACCAAGAACTTCCCCTGGGCTGATGGGACTTCCTGCGGCCATGACAGCTTCTGCCTGGCCGGGCAGTGTCTCACCAAGAGCCAAGCTGCCAAACACCAGGTAGGAACTAGCCTCCAGAAGTGTTAGCCTTTAGAAGTGTTAGCCTCATAATTATTAGCCACCATAAGTATTAGCGTCCGGAAGTACTGAATCAGATTTGTAATGCTCGTGTCTCTGGTGCTTTCAGACTCCTGTCAATGGCGGATGGGGGTTGTGGGGTCCGTGGGGTGACTGCTCTCGAACCTGCGGCGGGGGGGTGCAGTATTCCTTCCGCTCCTGCGACAACCCTTTGCCCAAAAACGGGGGCAAGTACTGCGAGGGGAAGAGGATCCAGTACCGCTCCTGCAACACAGAAACCTGCCCCGATAGCAACGGTGAGACATACTTTCTATACGATTTAAGAGATGTTCTTGAACCAAACTGCTCAGTGTTTCTCAGGAAGAAGGGATGTTTTGATGTTTCTTGCACGTTGGTGTGAAAGTTAGCATGCTCAACCAGCAGTAAATCTGACCCCCGCTCTGTTTTCTTTCTCAGGCCTGTCTTTCCGCGAGGAGCAGTGCTTGGCGCACAACGACATGTCGGCCCAGGTGTCGCTGGGTTCAGGCGAGGGAGTCGAGTGGGTGCCCAAATATGCCGGAGTCTCACCCAAAGACCGCTGCAAGCTGGTGTGCAGAGCCAAGGGCACCGGATACTTCTTTGTCCTCAAATCTAAGGTGAGAGGGGTTGGATTACACTGATAAACTCAATGTTTCCTATAATAATTATGTTCCTCTACTTAAGTAACATTTTGTAGGACTTTTACTTGTAATGTAGTATTTCAAGATCATAGTTTTTGTACCTTTACTTAAGAAAAGGATCTGAGTACTTGATCTCATAACTCTTACCTGTGCAGACCTGCAATCTGAAGAATCAGCTGTTGTAATTTCCCTCAGCCCCCAGGCAAAGACTTTTACTTGTTTATGACTCATATGTAGCTCCACGCAGTTGGCAGGGTTAAAAAATAAATTAAAAATCTGATCCCTTTACAACAAACACAATATACTATTTTTTTGTTTTTTTGTTAGTAATCGTGCTAGTAATCCCCAAATATATATTTGTTTACTAGTAATCTGATAGAGTAATCCCCTGACTCTCCCTGACTCTAACCTCTGTCTCTCTGCTGCCCCCAGGTGGCTGACGGGACCCCCTGCAGCCCAGACTCCACCTCGGTGTGTGTCCAAGGCCAGTGTGTGAAGGCCGGGTGTGATCGTGTCATCGGCTCCAACCGGCGCTTCGATAAGTGTGGAGTGTGTGGAGGAGACGGATCGACCTGCAAGAAAGTGTCCGGCTCTCTGGAGCGTGCCAGGTAAATATATCTCACACACAAATGTCTATATAAAGTATAAATATTGGATACTTCCGTCTCTGTAAACATCAATTTGTTGTGCCTCAGTCTGACCTCTGCCGCTCTCTGTTTCAGGCCTGGGTACCAGGATGTTGTCACCATTCCTGCCGGCGCCACCCACCTGGACGTGAAGCAGCGCGCCCCCGGCAACGGTCGTAACGACAACAGCTACCTGGCGGTGCGCCGGCAGGACGGCACCTACCTGCTGAATGGAGACTACAAGCTGATGACCATGGAGACGGACATCGCCCTGCAGGGGGCGCTGCTGCGCTACAGCGGCTCTTCCGCCTCCCTGGAGCGCCTCCGGAGCTTCTCCCCGCTCCCAGAGCCCCTCACCATCCAGGTGCTGTCTGTCGGGGAGGCCCCCAGGCCCCGGGTCAAATACAGCTACTTTGCACCAAGACCCAACAACGCTGCCTCCATCTCCAACGGCAACGGAGGCCGCCGGCACTCCATCAACGCCATCAGGGAGGTGGGTGGAGCCGAGTGGACCCTCAGGGAGTGGGGTCCCTGCTCCCAGACGTGTGGCGGAGGCGTGCAGCAGAGGGAGGTGGTGTGTGCGGACCCCCAGGGCCGGCCCTCCAGAGACTGCCCCGAGGAGCTGCGCCCCCTGGCTTCGCGCTCCTGCTCTGCCCAGCCCTGCCCCTCCTGGCTCCTCGGGGAGTGGTCGGTGTGTTCAAAGACCTGCGGGCGGGGTTTCCGCAAACGCCAACTGCGCTGCATCGGCCCCGAGGGGCGCACACTGACACACGACAGCTGTGACCCCAAAGAGCGGCCGAGACCCCTGCTGGAACTGTGCAATCAGAGCGCCTGCTGAAGACTGCTGCAGAAAAACACTCTGCCTCCTCTTCTTCCCACGGACAAGCTAAAGAGGCTACTGAATGTTAGCATCCAGAGTCCCACAATGGGTCCTCAATGACTGCGACTTATTTCCCCCTGAATCCATTGTGGGGCCACAGAGCCTCTGCAGCATCACTGGCTCAGTGCAGCACGTTTAGCCTCCCTCAGGAGGAAGACACTTCCTTGCTGCTTACCGTGCCAATGTCATGCTTGTGTGTGAGCGAGTGGGAGAAAGTGTCTTTTGTGTTTTTGTATGCATGTGTATATATATGATGTTTGTCCAAGCTGGGCTGGACTGACACATAAGGGGTTTGGGGGTGGGGGAGGTAAATGCAGAGTATATAAAGATCACATGAAAGAGAAATAGCTCATATTCTACTATACATCCCATCAGGTATGGAAAAAAATAGTCAGTGTTTAGTTTATTTATCACAAACCTGTAGCACTTCATCTTTGTTTTGCCAGCGGCACATTGTAACACCCCGTCGTCTCTAAAGGCCTCAGTACTCTGTACTCTGTGCTTTAGCCATATCTAACCCTTCAATGAGGGAACTCTTCAAAGACCAAAGAGGAGTGTGAGTGTGAGTGTGAGCGTGTGTGTGAGTGTGTGAGTGTGTGTGAGTGTGAGTGTGTGTGAGTGTGTGTGTGTGTGTGTGTGTGTGTGTGTGTGTGTGTGTGTGTGTGTGAGTGTGTGTGTGTGTGTGTGTGTGTGGAGACCTAAAGAGGGACTTGTCTCCTGCTACTACTTCATAAGTAAGTCTCTCCTGCCTTCTGCGAAGGCACCCGGTTTCTTTTTTCTACCGAGTTTTTTCCTTTTGTACAGAATATCCAAACATTATTTATTTTTGTACAGCCTGTTAAATATAATCATGTGGCTTTTTTAATATTATTTTGTATTTGTTATTGAGATCACAGAAGGGAGTAGAATATATAGAGTATTTATACAGTGTTATATAAATATATATATATATATATGGTCCTAGGTTCATGAATAAAAGTATCACATTGACTTGTGAAGCGCATGTCTTGTGTCTGTTTGTTGTTGCAAGGTGAACTGATTTGCACTCAGTTATTGTATTTTAACAGTGGAGCTGTTTTAATGGGAACTCTGCCAATTCTTCTTCTTTAAGAGTTTAAAAACGTAAATGTGTTCCCTCAAAGTGAAAGTAGTGTGAATAGCTTTTAAATGATAATGATGCACTTACATTAAATGAGAATGCATTTTGTAATTCAGGTTTCGTCCACTAGATGGCACTATTTCATCGATTATGTTTTCGTTTTGCACAATTAAAAAATACACTAACATAAAAGATAAACAAATGATAAACATTGCAGGAAAAATTATTGGATGGCTAATTTGGAACTTCCGCCATTAAAAAAAAAATCAAAGATCAATATACAAGCAATACATTGAATACAATAATGATGGCAAACTTTGAGAACAACATATACTAAAAACAAATCAAGAAAAAAAAATGTGAATAGGAAAAGATTATGATTTTGATACTCAATTTCTCAAAAACACTATTATATTCACAAAATAATTGTATTTCCCACTGCTTTGTCTTCTTTATACTCCTCTAGGTTGAATTTCCTGCCCCTAACTTTCTGATCCAAAGTACCTCAACCCCATCACTTAAATCTGAAGCCTGCATGTGTGGCACTTCCTGTTTGGCCCCGAGGAAGACGCTCCCCGCCTCCTCGGCTCCCAATGCAGCACAAAGGAAATCATTATCCTGCAATTATGGATGGTTAAGAAGAAGATTGGCCATGTCTGTAATCAGCATAATGGCATAATGTGTCTGTAAACAAGTCGTGAAGGGCAACATGTATACTGCACGCTCTTTTTCGCATTGACAAAGAAAAACCGGCATTAATATGTATGTATTTTTACACCTACTGATTTTTGAAGTCTGAGAGTCCCAGAAACATGTGGAAAGCGTTATGAATCACCGCTGCTCCATGTGGGTGGCATCTCCCAAATTATCTGCATCCCTTTGCCACCAATGGCTGCCAATTAAAGTTTACATCATGGCAAATTGATTAAACCAGGATTCAGATTAAATCATTTTAATGGCCAAACGTTTAATTTAGTTACAAAGTAATGTAACACCTTTTTGGATGGTGTACTTTTACATACATGTTTTTGTACACTCATTGCAAAAGCTACAAAGTTGACTTGTTATTTAACATGTGAGTGTGTTTGAAATGTCACCCGTGTGTAGCAGAAGGGGGAATTGGATAAAGTGGCCCCATCCCTGACACAATAGATGTGACCTAACAACAGAAAGTAGTGCGTCTGGCGTTATTTTCTCCAGGTGTGAAGCGGCCTGCTGTGAATCATTGTGCCGATGTTATCTTTAAAAGAAGGTCGTGATGTGACTTTAATACCACGTGAAGCATGTGACACGCGCACATAAATACATAGAACCCATGGAAAACGTTTTCCCTCCTGTGACAGACATAACCAGGCTAAGGCCTTCAAAATAAAAGCTCAAACTAATGTCACATTTATTAAAAAAAATACTATTACTAGACTAAATTGAATAACGTGACTTGTTAACATTAAGATTTCGATAAAAAACTACTATTTATAAACATTTATTTTGTGTCTGCAATGACTTTTGTTTTGATAATTTAACTGTAGCTATGGCCCATAAAATAGTGAAAAACGTCCATTATAGCTTGTCAAAGTTCAATTTAATGTATTTTAAATGTCTTGTTTTGTCAGAGCAGATTAAGTTTAATATGATATTTACTAGAAAAAGCATTATATCTCCTTACTTATGGGGCCAGTTGTGCACAAACAATACAATTTGAATGATTTGTAACATCAAATCAATTAACACTGCAATCAATACGATTGCAGTGTTAATTAGACTCTTATTTTGAAAACGTTTTTGTGTCAGATCGTGGCTGCCTTCCTCGTCAGTGTAAACTCAACATGGTAATCTGAGCAAACCGGGGGAGGGGATCGGAATAAAACGCTCGTAGGTGTGGGAGCAGGACGGGGCAGAAACACTGCTCACACGTGGAGGAACAAACGGAGCTGCACTTTTTTTCTAAGGAGACATGTTTCCCGAAGTCTGCTGCTGGGTTCAAAGCGGTAGGCTCCAACAATGATCCTGGAGGAGCCAAAAAGGTGACTGGGAAGAAGCGACTTTTCTGAGTTAGTGTGATCCACTGCAGATTGATTGAGAATAAAAGCGCACAGGAAAGCCGGGTCATGGAGAGCCCCTGGAGGAGGACGCAGACTGAGAGCTGGGGGGTGTTGAGGAGCTCGCTGCTGCTTTGTTTATTCTCCGGTGAGTTTAATCAATACATTTACAAAGAGCTACACGTCTTTTCTTTATGATTTTGATAATGGTAAGACTTCCAGATGTGTACAGCTTTGGGGAAGCTGAAGTTCCGCCGATCACATTTTGGGAACTCCTACACACTAGCTTGAAAACAGCTGGAAACTTTGATCTGGATGGGGGCAGGGGAGAGGAGCTGCTGCTGGCTGTGTGTGTGTGAAGGGGTGGTGTTGGGTGTAGGGGGGGATGAAGGACATGGTGCCATTGTCCCCCAGCGTGTGGAGAGACAGGACCTCCGAGGACCACCCACACAGAGAGAGTCAGAAGTCTGCTTTTAAAACCGCATGCAGGCATTGACATGGAAAGATTAGCTGCCTGCAGGGAGGTAGAGTAACATTCAAAAGTTGGATGAAGGATACAGTTAAGACTGCAGAAAAACCTTTATTGTGAACATAGATTGATTTCCACATCATTAAGGTGTGCACACTTCACACTTTTTGGGTGTATACATCCACCAGACCCTGCTTATATCAGTTAAAACATGCCTAAAAGGTGCAAAAAATCCTGTTCTTGTGCACTTTCATTTAAGATTTCTGCATCATAACCATCGAACCTGCTTATATCAGAAAAATCATGACTTAAAAGTGCAATAAACACTTGACCTTGAGTTGTGCAAACTGCATCCCAGCTTTATTTAACATAATGCAAGTTTTCTTTTTTTCTTTTTAAAAGCATCCTCCTGTGGTAATTACAAGGCAGGGCTCCCAAGCCTGGAAATGTGCATACATGCCTGCAGGCACACATCCCATGTGTGCGAGTGATTGCTGAGAGTAAGCAGATCTCCAGTGCACACACACCCACACACAGGGAGTTTGTTTTCCTTGCAGTGTCCTTCATTTGAAGTGATTCAGAGAGACTGCCAGTCTGCCACAGCTCCAGCCTGAGAGGTGAAACCTTCAGAGATGAGAGCAGGTTGAGACGAGTTCCTGTGGGGGCAAGGCTGCTGGGGGTGGGGGGAATAATGCACCACATTAAACACACACACACACACACACACACACACACACACACACACACGCATGCAACAAGTGTGTGAATAATTACTGAACTGCTAGTTGCCATATTATCATTACTGTTATTATCATATTCAAGAACAGGAGAACATTGAAAGTATTTGATATTTAAAAATGCGGATGCATTAGTGCAGCTAGCTGACTGGGTCCCAGTATGAGTTCATTACAGAGACCTTCTTTTATTCTCATTTCCCCCGGTGCTCCACAGGTATTGATTGCTTCTTTCTAAATCTGTGCTACTCCACTTCTCGGCACAATGAGTGTCCCGTGTCCACGCTTTTAAGCCTGTCTTTGATTGAGGTGCGTGTGCTTTTGAATTTCGTTCCTAAAAGCTTTTTCTCATAGTTTCCTCCAGGGAACAGATTTTTAAAACATCCGGACCTGGCCTAATCTCTTATTTGAAGGGCTTCTTTCATTTTAATTAACACTTGAGACGAGATTGTTATTTTTATCACCACCTTTTCATCTTTGCAATCAACTTACGTCTTTGTGTGTGTTGCAGGCAGCAGTAAAGCCCAGTGTGAAGGCTGCATAGAGTACTGCTGCGATGGATCTCCACCTTTCTGCTGCTCCTACTACGCCTACGTGGGCGACGTCCTCTCGTAAGTAATCACAGGGACACAGCAAACACATTAAATGCACAACTGACGGCTGAAGGGGCCCTATTATGTTCATATTTGTATTTTTTGCCACGATTTCTCTCCTTTTGATCCACTGGTCGACGAGCTGCTCAGTTTCTAAATGAGAGAGGTCACACACCAGCTGTCTTTTAACCTGCCCCTTCAGAGGTCTCACCTTTTGACCCCTGTTGGCCTTGATTCAGCCCAGCTGCTCAAATGCTTTCACCTCACTCTGCTTCCCTTCACCATGAAGCTGTGTTCAGTTTCCATCATCAGTGCATCTGTGAAAATTGTTTATTTGTGCAAAACCTTAAATGACCCGCGGCAAAGTCTTGTAAACACGGCTGATTCTGACTAACGCTGAATATAATCAAATGTTAATAAAGCTTTATTTTGTAGTGTCAATTCAAAGACTCTCCTTCTGTGAATACACACACACACACACACACACACACACACACACACACACACACCAGATGCTGCAGTCCGTCTCCATGGCAGCTGCCTCCCCACTTTTATTTTTTACATTTTCTTCTTGCACTATTTTTATTGTTTTATGTCTTATATATTTATGTTGCATTGTAGGAGGAGCCTGCATATGACCACAAAGCCTTGAATCTGTGTGTGTTTGTGTGTGTGTTACAGGGGCACTGCCATCTCTGGGATCGTGTTCGGGGTGGTGTTCCTGATGGGAGCGGTGGCGGCCCTGTTCCTGTGTGTGTGCATGTGCATGAAGAACGGGCGGGGGGCACGGGTCGGCGTGTTCAGCACCTCCTACATCAACACTGTGACTCAGGGGTACCCGGGTGGGTCTCGCACACACACAAAAAACACACTTTTTAATAACATAAATAAGGCAAATACATGTTTTTATCTATAATGAATAGCAAATGATCTGGCACTACTAAATAATGGGGTAGTTGTATAGTGTGATTAAACACTTATTTGTAGGTGTCCATTTCAGTTCCACCTCCTCTGGTGTCCTCAGGCGCCCTCATTTGAACAGAAAACAGCAGAATGTGTTTTATGTTACAAGATCCACCTTGGCCTTGAGCATAATCCCTGACAAGTAACACAAAGAGAGAGTGGATTCCTTTCAAAATAAAAGCCATTAGACTTGACAATGACCTCTGTTCAAGCACTTTAGACATAGATATTCCCAGAAGCATGACGTTCTTCCCCCTCCGCTCCCACTGTTTCACATCTGATACTCCCTGTTCCTGCTGGAAAGGAGCAAAGCGGCGACAATGTTCCCACACTGTCCTCGCAGGTACATCGGAGTCTGTGCTCTGAATACGCTGCTTTTTTTCTGGGGCTCATCATTTATTCATCACGCTTTATTCTCCTTTGTGTATCGCCTTCATGCAACACTGGACTGCACCGGCCCTGCAGCTCTGATCATGTTCCATAAACAAAGTGCCAAAAACATGCAATATGAATGCATGTAGCTACAGTGACATTAATAACCTTATGTCCCAATAAAGGATGTTAATCAATATTTAAATATGATTTTAATTGATTTAGTTAGTGCTGCTTTTATTATTTACACCTTTCCTTTATGTTATGATGCTTTTTAAATTGATCAAATATTAATTCTCACGTTGCAAGGTCTCATTCTGGGCTACACAACGGTTTCATAGACATTTTTAAATAAAGGTAACTCTTGCAGCACGTTAGATTGTGAGTTATTCATAATCATGGCGTCATACATGCAAGGTTTTGCTCATGTCACGCTTTCATCTTTTCTTTTATCTCGGCTGCTTTGATGTTTCAGTGAATAATTCAAGTTCCCCTGGTGAGACTGATGCATCATGGTCAACCAAGGGATTTTTTTAGGGGCCATATTTTTACACTTATTAGTAAAGTCCCTTTTTGTACAGAGTGCAGTTTCTCTGTTTTACCACTAGAGGGTGCCACTTTCCCATCGTACACCTTGTCAAATGAGTGCAGGTTTCCCCACATTATAATAGAGGACATATTCTGTTCATTTTCAGGTTCATATTTGTATTGTGTGTCTCTACTGTGATATGTTTACATGCTTTAATGTTCAAAAAGCTCTTTATTGTCCTCATACTGCCTGTGCTGCAGCACCTCTCTTCACCCTGTAGAACAAACTACAGGAAAAGGGAAACATCCAAAAAGCATGACAGACTATTTATTTTCTTTATTTCTCTTCCCAAACTCAGGTCCTCCACCTCCATACACCTACGACTACGAGATGTACCCTCCCTCGCTGCACCCGCCACCTTACACCCCGTCTCAGCCGAACTCGGCCAACTACTCCCCTCCTCCTCCGTACCCGGGATGTACCCGCAAGTGAATCCCTGCACAGACCCTCTAGCAGTCATCTAAAAGGAACTGATCGATGTCTCCACACCTGGATCTCTGGCCTCCAAAGACAATTAAAGAGGCCTGAATGTATTCCACATTTAAAAAGAAAAAGGGGGGGGGGGGGCAGTGCAATATTGTTCAGCAGGCCAGGTGTGAATGTCACTGCCTTTCTGCAGGAGTCTAGACCAAATGTTGGGGAAATTAATAATAATTGAACATTCTCATAGAGTTAGCAGCCGTGCTAGCCTGCAGCTGGCACTTCCTAATAACCAATACTCTCATCCGTCCCCGACTGAGCACATCAAAGGCTCCGCGCCGCTTTGATGCAGGTGAAGACCACTTTTGTCAGCATGGAGCGGTACCTTGGCTTACATCACTGGAGGAACATCGTTTTTTTTAAGGGAGATGCAAATGAAGCTTTATTATATTTTAAGAAAAGTCTTTCCAGGACACAGTGCAGACATGAAAAGTGACCTATTTTGAATAAAACTTGATTTATATTGTGACTTAAGAGGAAGCATATGATCACTATTATGTGTAGACTTGAACATAAGGCATTATACTGACTTTAATGGCAACTTGTTGGCAATGAACTGGTTTTTACAGCCTTACTTGAATCAATGTGAGGGTGGAAACTGAACTGGGGGTCCCACTATGTTCAGTTTGGTAAAGTAATGAAATAAAGTTGTGTTTTATTTTAAATGCATTTTGTAGGCTGATTTAAGGTTTGAAAGAGGACCCCACTGTGTAATGGCTGATACATGTGATGGAGGACGACTGTGAAAAATGTAAGGGATTTAGGTTTGATAATAATGTATCAGGTAGATGATTTTGTGTTTCTTTATTGTTTTTACTGGCTGTCTTCTTGTAAATTAAAGATGTGATTAAAGCGTTTTTAAAGTATAAAACAATGAGATGGTATTTATATGAATGTGAATGCATGTGCGTTGGCTGGGACAAATTATAGATGTTGAAGTGAAAATGTGTGGGCATGTGCGTCAGAGATAACGTGTGTGTGTGTGTTAATCCCACTCCGCTGGTCAGGTGACTCGTTGCTGAGCAGCTGTGCAGCCTCGGTATCACCATCAGACAACGGGAGTCACCGGCGCTGCACACACTCTGCTTCTCACGTTAAACGTAAAACCGCTCGGTGAAACGCCGCCTTTAGGAGGTTCGTGTCCGCGAAACGACATGGGGGACCGAGTAGCTTTACTGCTGCTGGCTGTAGCGGCTTCGGCTCTGGCTGCCGAGGTAAGAAAAATACGTTTTTGTGAGGTATTTCCACCATATTGTTGCTGCGTCAAGCTAGCTGGAGTTAGCTTAAATTCAACCGGAAGTTAGTTGACTGTGCCTTCAAAGTAAAAGCTCTGATTGTTTAAGGCGAAATCAAGGGGAGGTAGTTTACCAGGATACTTGAATTTGATCAAATTATGTAACTAAAAGTTTAAGTAGGAGTAGTGGAGACATATTTTTTCTCAAAGTACACAACATGACTTGCTTCGTACCACCAAACATTAACTTTGTAGCCCATTAAAAAAGGCAGGTCCTTTGTGTTGAAGGTTTTAACCGGAAGTATTGTGGTAACGTCTATCTAGCTTGTCACTGACTGAATGCTTGGCTATTTCTAAATAAAGACCACACGTTGTTTCGTTAAACCGCCTAAATATTTAGATATTTGTTAGTAATTGTCGTTGTATTATTTGTCATTAACTTCCCCATGAACACACCACATAACACATAACGTGTATTCTTTTTGCACGGATGCTTTTTCTCAGGCAAAGTCTCCTTTTTAAGCCAGTCGATACTGATTTATTGAGGATTTGCAACAATGGAGAATATGTCCGTTTCTTCTATATTTAAACCTGCACCCTTTAAATGTCGATTTCATTTGTGTGAAAACGAGAAGCAAGTTGCTTTTCCCAAATTAAAAACGTTACAAACAAGTTGTCAACAAATTACATACCTTCATTAATCTGTGCAAATGGCTCCTAACGCTGCTATTGATTGTTATTCGGGCTCTTTTAATGTTATTTAAAGTCATTATTAGGAATAAATGAAACGCTTATTGTCTCATTTTCCATATCCCGAGGGCTATTTTTTAAGGGAGTGGGCGTGTTTTAGGGATGGAAATAAGTAAATGAGACGTCTTGTTGCCTCGTAATGAATACTTAATGCCAGATGTTGACTGAAACTAAGCAAATAAACCCGTGAATATGACATTATCCTCAGAAAAACAATCTTTAGAATGGCTTTCCCTCATATTTCAGTCAGATGATAGAGAATAGAGAAGTAAGATGGCGGCGGTGCACTGCAGCATTTATCGAGGGGTCGGGAAACTGGGAAGCCAACAGCAGCTTTCACTATCATTGTTTCCTTTAATGCCATGTTCTCACCCACCGTGCCGTGTGTGGTGATAATACACACAAAGGATTTCTCTAATGTATTTATAGCGGACAAAGTGACACAAAATCACTGCTCTGCCATTTTTCAAGCGTCTTTGCCAAGAATATAGCTTTGTGAATACACCTACCCTGCAAAGAAATACGTTGGAATGTCACTGAAATGTAAAAATAATTGCAGCTTTTTTAATCAAATCCAGTGCACATGCATTTTTAAAACGTTATGTCATCATTGTCAGTTGTGTAATCTTCTTAATCCTGTGATGCATAAATGCTTAGTTCCCCATTTCAAGATGCATTTGGTTTCTGGAAAATACCCAAAGCATTTAAAGCATTGGGATTTCCCCAACTGAGATTTATTTAACGAGGGGTTTTAACACTTAGGTGAATAGCCTGTATGCACTGTGGCTTTGTTGTGAGAGAACATGACACATTGCTTTAACCACCGGCAGCCACATTGTTACAGATGGGAGCTGCAATTGTGGCCGAGGAGCAGCTGCTGCCTGTGGGATTTCTGGTTGTTACAATTATAGCTTGTATACATGATAAATGAGTTACTTGTAATAGATCAATAGTGCCAAACAATGGCTATTACACTCCATTTAGGCCCCTCGATTTTGCTGTCTTGGCCATTTCTGCTGAGCTTTTTTTTCTTGGGATGAATCAGGTGAAATGTGGCAGGCGACCTTCAGTGTCTCCCGCACGTAGGCTGTAATCAGTGGATATGAAATAGTTTAGGCTGCTCATCAAGCAAAGGGGCGGCTTTGTTCCTAATCCATTGTTTAGCTTACCATAAGGACCCCCACATTAAAAAAATCAAAGCTATGAGTGATAGATTGCGACAAAGTTGTACAAAAATTAAGCAACCAAAATGAAATCGGACTTCAAAATGAGATGTTGCAAGTGTTTGATGTTGTTGGGGTTTGTTTAGAGCCCCATTCACACACACAGATCAAGGAAGCTGCTTCTTCCTGACGGGGCCCGCGGTCTGGAGCGTGGGAGTTGGATGCCAGCCTTTGTGTATTTGGGAATCCTTGGGAAATGGCTCTTGGATGGGTGCAGGCGGGCAGTGTGTTTGTGTGCATACTGCAGTCTTTCAGCCCGGGGCGGACCAGCCTTCTCCCCTTATTAGAGAGTTTAATGCCATTATGCCTGTTGGCGCTGCCAGTGTTTCTCTCTGGCACCTTCTCTGCTGCTCACACTGCAGCTTTGATTCTTAAAGGGGCCCTTTTAATGCTCATTTTCAGGTTTATATTAGTATTGTGTTCCTCTACTGTGACATGCTAAGGAGAAAATCCACCTTGAGCTACATTATCTTCAGTTTTAAATCCACATTTTGCAGAGAAACACCTTGTGCACGGCTTCCAGTTGACTTGCTCATAGTTTTCACACTTCAGAAACAGCTGCTGGGATCGGGTCAACTGAGGGAATAATGTGAATAATTTAGCCCCTCAATCTCTGTATTTCTGATTATTGATTGACCTGTTAACGAAGAAGCTTTTGCTCTGATTCTAACAGACTGATAAAACCCGATATATGAAAGTGTGTTTGTACATATAGAAGAGACGTTTAGCCAATTCATTGATTAGTGTATTGACAGAAAATAAACCGCCCTATTAGGATAATTGATCAATGGCTGGTTTTGTCAGACTTCTATGATAGTAAAATGAAACCTTTAGATTTTTACGTTGTTTTTGGGACATTTTAAGAGCACATACTGCAAGTAAAATTATGATGTTTGTACATTTAAATCATGAAAAACTGCTGGTTTGAGATACTAAAATGTGATCATTTGCAAATAGGCACCAGTCAGACCAGTCTGTGGTCATTATCACATGTGCCTGTCTTTCCTCAGTAAACAGTGCATGTTGTCAGCGGGCAGGACTGGATGTTCTCTTCATAATGAGACATGAATGGGATTTATCTCCAGTGCTCACTATCTTGTTTTTTCTTTTCTTTTTAAAGTCCTCCATTAGCTGTTTAAAAAAAGTATTTATCCAAACAGCTCGCATTGTCCATGTTGTCAACAACAGCAATGACACAGCAGCAGCGTTCCCAATTAATGTTCCTCTCCTATCCCCCCCTCTGCTGTCTGTTCCCGGAGAAAAGCATTCCTGACCTTTTGATAGCGTTGTTTCTGTTGTCACGGCCCTGGAAACGGGGATGTGCTTGTTGTCTTTTGGGGGCTGCGTGTAACTGATAAATCAGCTGATTGGGAACATTGAAGATGTTTTACCTGTTAATCTTTGCTCCCTACTTGTACTGTTTTGTTATCCTCACAATCTCTGAGTCTTCTTTGTGTGTTCATATTGTGTTTTCCTACTGGAAGGTAGCATCGCCCCTTTTTCAAAGCATGGTAGGAATCTGGTCGTGCAGATTTCAGTGGCGCAGCTGAAAGGCCGGCATTGTTTTGTCCAATGAATGAGAGACTATAATGAAAAAGTTTGATAAGATCCAACAAGTGTCTGATAGCATAAGAAGCTGGCCTTCTATGCTTGTTGACTGAGGAGGAATTTCAGATTTAGGTCGCATAACACGTGTAGAAAAAGTCCTAAAACCCAGAAATGACTTAGCATTTTTGCCCTTCTGCTTCCCTTGTCTTGCAGTAAGCAGGTTTGAACGTGTTTTTGTTAAAGGCCTGTGGTTAACACAAGCTGAATTCTTTTTAAATCTACGACATAAAATATGGACCTGGAAATAGTCTCTGCAATGTTCCCTCTCCTGAATGGAGATGTTGCTGCTTCTCTTTATTACCGGATCATAATGATCTGTAATAGGTCAAACATGTAACAGTCCAAGCCTTTATTGCATCGGGAACACGCCATTCTCCCTCCCACATCTCATATTAGAGCAAATCTCGCCATCATTCATCACCACCGGAGCGTTATTTCCATCTGCAAATATCAGCAGTGCGCCACGAAGACACACTCTTGGTTTCGCTGCTGCTGAGTAAGCATCTCTTGGTACAGAATCTGAATAATAAGCCGAGAAAACAAGTCGCCCCGACCTGCGCAATTACTCAGCAGCAGCACCGAGTACACCACACACACACACACACACACGCACAGTATTCATACACACATCTGGAAACCAGCTTCCTGACATTTCCTGTCAGGGCATCCATTTTTTTATCATTCATATCCATCATAAGTGTCCCAGTCAAGGCTGTGATGTGTTTATGACCTTCCTCGGAAATATGACCTACCCTTTAATAATCTGACCGAGGCCAATGCAATCAAGGTTTAATCTCAGATCACACACTATCAGAGTGTGATGGATGAGTTGGTCAAGGTTGGGAGGGTTACTTTTATAATGTGTTACAATAACAGATGTTGCTGTGATCAGAACATGATGATACATACCGTGTGTCGTCACACATCGTGACTCGTACCGGCTTCACTCTCTGAGGTGTTTCTCCAACAGGATGCTTGTGTCCTCTCTGTTGGATCCCAGACTGGAGGTGTATTGAACCCAAACACACCGGCTAAGCTTTCAGTTAGAAAAGAGGAACACAGCTAAAGTCCCTCCTCCACTTTGGTGCCTGGGAGTTTGACATTTATTTTGTGCATTACGGCTGATATGAAGTGGCAACACACATCCAGTGATTCCAGAGAGAACACTGTGAAATCAGAGTGGCATAAAGCACCTTATTTTATCACCTCCTAAAAACAGCATGCAACAAAGTGGGTTAGAACATTTTCATTTTTTCGCGGCACCTGGAGGATCATTGACTTGCACCTGGATTCACCTTTTTGTTTTTATGTTATCTTTTTGTTACTTTTAGATATTGTAAACTGTGTGTCTTCTTCTCTGATTGGTTAGCTGGCGGGTTCTGCTTTGATTGGTCAACCG